TGTTTTGAGAATGATGAGGGCAATGAATGTACAAATGTGCTTTACACAATTGATGTATGTACGGTTTGTGATAAGAGTTGTATGATCCCCCAATAAAATGATTAAAAAAAAGAATAGGTGCCTTTTTTTTTTCTTAAGGATGAGCCCACAACATGTTGTTTTCCATGTAGGAACCCACAAACTATAAAAACCAACATGGATGGCGTTCTTGAACGGTCACATAGCATTTGTAAAGAACGAACTACAACGTGAACTTACCAGAACAGCATGAGACCGCTGTGATCAGAAGTGGAATCATATTTTGGCCTAACTTATAAATGTGATGTGCGGTTTTCATTCAGTTTTATTCTTTTCATATCCACTGCACAAACACACTTGCATAACACCTGGAAGGTTCTTTGTGTGTTTGTTTCATGTTGATTGTGGAAGCAATGATTTTTTATTTGAGTTCTTGTAAAGGATGTAGTTCATTAATAGACATGCTGTCTAAACAAAAGGATCGTATTTTCTATTTCAAACAAAAGGTATGCAAAGCGTAAGCGAGCATCCTGAAATGAAGTGTTCATCTCAGTCACAGTGAATCGGACACAATACCAGGGATGTTACAGTAGCAGCAAGAACGGAAATGGTCTGTGAGCAAGGTTCCCCTGGCAGCAGAGCCCTATTCTTGATGGATGGAGAAGTTCATTATGGAATTTTTTGGAAACAAACACAGACACACATGCACACACAGAGATACACACGCACACAAACACATGCCTTTCTAGAACCTCTATTTGTATTTTGGAACGGCATAAGACTAGGAATTAAGACCATATAGAGGGAATTTATTGCAAAATGTCAATGGACATATAGCCTGTAAGCGTCCCTTTTCAATCTTCTGTAATGTGTATGCCTATAAATAGAAAAATATCAAGCATCATTTGACAGATAATAGCAACTGTAAATGTGGTCAATTGGTATATGTACCTGTAGGTCCTAGAAAAATTAATTGATTCAAGACACACAACCCCAGAAAAGCCCAGAAGTTAAAGACAGTAGGTGGTATAGGTAGGACTGAAAAAGCTACAAATAAGATGCTTGTTTGAGCTGTACAACTGCACCTAGTCACC